CATGGGAGGGAATGTCCGTTTAGTTCTCTCCTCCAGTTTAAAAACGACTTTTAACCCTTCCCAGACTGACAGGCAGCAATAGTTAGATCATTGCTGATGTCTTTCCTCCTTGATGTGCCACACACAAAACTCCTGCTTTAGTAAGTAAGTGCTATGTGTCATCATCATTGTATGTTCCCATACAATGGTGAAATTAGTTCTTGCATTTAACCCATCACACCTGGGATACACACAGGTGGAGCAGTGGACAGCTATGCAAGTGCCTGAGGAGCAAACTGGGGGTTAGGCGTCTTTCTCAGAGACACCACAACATGTGGGAATGGCTGGGGATCAAACATGGGACTTTTGGGTCCAAAGTCGGCTGCCCTAACTCTACCCCATCTCGGCCCCATAGTCGTGGGGTAATCACTGATGATCAGTTATAATCAATACATTTGATCAGCAGCACATGGCAGATATCTTCTCTGAAATCCTGTGGAAGCAGCACCAACGGTCTTACATTTTTTCCCCACACAGCTTCAATATGGTTGCATGTTTTTTGTTTATTGAACAAAATGGTGGGAAGTTGCTGTTTTTTATATCTGAGGTGAGATAGAGAATTTTGGACTCTGGTAAAGACTTGATAATGTTTTATATCTTGATATTTAAAACGTACAACTGAAAAGGGTGTATGTTTCGTTACAGGGAGTTCTGGTCAAGACGGCAGCATGAATTTAAACTAAAAACTGATTTAAGTAAAAGGTTTCAAAAATAAATAAAGGATCTTAAATATTAACTAGAGAACTGCATTTCTTGCGAAAATGCAGTGTGAATGCTTATTGCAGAAGAACTTGCTGAAAAACAGCTGAAGAAAGAGGAAAGAACAAATATTTGCTGAATTATGTTAAGCAGAAATTAGCACAAAAATTAACTAAAGAAAGCTGAAATTAGCAACAAAAAAATCTAAAAAGTAGCTAAAAATGCAGAAAAAAAGCTTAAATTACCAGAAGGAAGTGGAAAGAGCTGAAATGAGCTAATAAAAAAGTGGAATTAGCTGAAAAAGCTAAAAAAAAGAAGCATAAAACAGCTAAATAGTAGCTGAAATAACTGAAACTAGCAGAAATAAGCTGCAAGGTGCATAAACTGAAATTAGCAGAAAGAAGTTAATTAGCCTGAAAGTAGCAGAAATTGCCATGAAAAACTTGAATTTATCAGCAAACAGCTGAAAGTAGCAAACATGCTAAAAAGGTAGCTAAAAAGTTAGAACAGGTTTAAATTAGCAGAATAAGTTTAAATTAGCAGAATAAGTTTAAATTAGCAGAATAAAGCAGAAAGAACACATTTGCCAGTTAGGCTGAAATAAGCAGAAATGAGCAGAAAAAAAAAATAAAAAATTATATGAAAAAAGCTGAAATTTGCCCAAAACAGCTGAAAAGTAACTAAAAAGGCAGAAAGAAGCTTAATTACCAGAAGGAAGTGGAGAGCGCACATTTTTGCTGAATTGGGCTGAAAAATGTTGCGGAGTGCAAAAATGTGGAATTAGCTGAAAAAGCTAAAATTATCTAAATAGTAGCAGCAATGGTAGAAAAAGCTGAAACTATTATAAGATGAAAGCAGCATAATAAACTGAAATTAACAGAAAGAAGTTGGAAGCAGCGCAAAAATGTAGTTAGCAGAAAGAATCTGAGAATCTTCACCAGCAATCTGAAAGGAGCACAAAACAGCTGAAATTAGCTGAAAGTATTTTTTTTTTTTTATTTACCCTTTATTTATACAGGTAGTCTCATTGAGTCACGAGAACTCATTTTCAAGAGAGACCTGTTTGGGAGCAGATGGTGGGGGTTAAGGGCCTTGCTCAGGGGCCCAGGGTGGGGCGAATGGGGGTGAAGGCAGGTGTGGGTGTTTCATCTTTTCCACCCACATTTTGATGTTGACGGTACTGGGAGTTGAACCTGTGACTTTCCAATCACAAGCCCATCTTCTAACCTCTGCGCCACCACTCCCCATATGCAACATATGAAAGGAGCAGGAAGAGGTTGTAAACAGATCTAAAGATCTGAAGGAGATAAAATGAGCTCAATTCATTTACTAAAAGAAAAAACTGGCAGAAAAGGCTAAATATTTCTAAAATCTAAAGTTGCACCAATACCAAAAGTCATAGCACCCTTCTCCTGAACGTTTTATGATTTGTTGAAGAAAAAAAAAAAAAAAACACAAAAATTGTGGAACGGGAAAGATGCTGAAAAATGTACGGAAGAAAAATGGATCACAACAGTGTGAATGCTTCATAAACATTCACACTGACAACACACCGATGGGAATCTTTCCCTACTAGCTGAACAGAACCCTTAAAAGTATATGATCAGAGCTCATTTCAGTAAATAAATGTAATTATTAGCCGTGCGTCATCTAATTAATCCCTAATTCACCTCTTGCACCTTATTAACTGGTGCTCACGCTGACAAAATGTCACCAGAGAGGCTCCGCACGTCTGCAGAAAAGAGCTGAATGCACACTTTAATTGGCTGCAGAGGGAGCTGCACAAAATCTGATTTCCCTGAATGCTGCCGTCTGCAGCTTCAGACAACAGTTTTAAGACTGACGGTTGTTTTGTGGGCGATGGAGGCATTAAAAATATATATAGTTTAAACTTCCTGCTTCGCTGGTTTAGTTAAAGCTAAATTGGAGGTACTTTTAATAACCCTGAATGAAATCATTAATTTACCCCATGGACGCATAAACATCAAAAAGTAAACAATCTGTCGCTCATCCCATGGTTTCGTTCATGTGGAAGCAATTTTAAGAGTCTGTAGTTTCCCCCACCCGGCTTTGTCTCGTGGGCCCAGAACTCCATATAAACAGATGCCAAATTGCGGTAAACAATTTTGTTTGTGGCGAGTTTTCTAAACGTGGCTTCTCGTCCTCACGCCGACCACATACTGCCAGCTCACGTTAATGGTCTCCAACACGCCAACCACTAATAATCAGGCCGAGACGCTTCGTCAAACAGGACGAGCTGAAGGCTCAGAGCAAAGGTATGAGAGACCTTCAGGTATTCACTGTTGCAAAGGAAAGGAACAAAACCGTGTCATTTTTAGGGTTTTATTAAAATACGGTGTTGAGTTTACCATTGGAAGTAACCATCACAAACATGATTGTATCTAATAAAAAAGTAAACAAAACAAAAATAAAGCTTAAGAGCCTAGTTACAGATTTTTTAGGTGTTTTTTTTTTGTTTGTTTGTTTTTGCAGTCTGGTGAAGGAAAAAAAAAAACAAAAAAAATAAAAATAAAATCACAATGAGTGAGTGGAAAATAAAAATGTTCACATGTTGCAAAAATACATTTCCCAATTTTAACGGTACACACAGTCACGTTCAAACAATCATTCATTCCTCGTTAGATGGTTAGATGTCAGTGCGGAGAGAAAACACAAACAAAAACAAAGCAAAACAAGAAAAGAACAGTTCAGACCTGTGCACGGAGGAGGATCAAAAGATTTCTAAAAACGCAGGTTTGACAGTCTGAGGAGAGAACGTGGGACACGGGGCGACTGCTGGAGGATATGTGTGCATTTGAACCCTGAGAGAGAGAAAAAGTGACCAACTCTCACCAAAACCATCCGCTTCCGTTCGTCTACAGAACACACCAGCGTCCGCTGCACCTTGCCCCGTTCACAAGCCACGCCGCAGCTTTCGAAGCCCCTTCAAGAGCGGTGACGGCGGCGGGGCGGTCTCGCGTCCAAGCGACAACCGTGAAAACCTCGGCTGTGAGCTCGTCTGTCACATTGGCTAGCATAATCTAGTAAAAGCTGAACAGTAAAAACACTACTTAACGCAAAGTAAAGGTTCACACTGGATTGATGAGATTGAGAGAAGAAACAAACAAAAACGTGGTTCGTTACGGAAGAAGAAATGTCCCGTCAGGGTGTGGTTTTCAGCCGGGGGGGGGGGGGGGGGGGGGGGAGGGGTTGCGCTGGGGGGGGGGGGGGGGGGGGGGGGGGTGTCTCGTTTTCTCTGAAATGTTTCAGTACAACATGACGAACGCAGACAGCACATCCATTAAAAACAAAGTCCCACAATAAAACAAAAAGCTTCTTATAGCGCACTGAAAAATATATATATTCATCATAAACAGTAAAATTTAAGATTACGCTTATGTGTGTAATCCAAACTATGGGGGAGGGGGGATTCTTTTGTTTTTGTTTTCTTAAAAAATATATACTCATCACATAACAGAGGAGCCTACCATCTCAGGACACAGACATGCTCCGTGTCTCTTATAGACTCTGGGGTGGGGAGGGGGGGGGGGGATCGTACAGCACAGGAAACTGACCACAACTAATAAAAATGGCAACTCGGGCTGAAAACACGCAGAGCGGTTAGCTTGAAGAAGGTTAGAGGCGATCGTGTTTACCCTTAAAAAAAAAAAAAAAGACCTCACATGCACCACAGACAGCAGCTGAACATTAAAGGGAGCAAAACAAGATGGCGTCTACTACAGCTGGTCTAGACCATAACCATCATCTTTTATTTATTTTTCTTCGTTTGACCTATTTCCCCCCCCGTCGTATCGCCCAGTAAAATTGAGGTTGAAGCATTTTGACAGTCTGAAATTGTGCTGGATTTAATCGCAACTACAAATTTAAGCAGTAAACGTAAAGCGACGCAGACAGTTTTAAAGCCCGAGTGTTCACCGACGTCACTGAACACGCTAAATTCAGAGCCGATTGTTGTTTTGTGGGGCGTTTTAGCTTTTTTTTTTTTTTAAACTAATGCTCTTGTAAGAGTATACAGGTACGTAGAATATTTGTACAAAATGAAAATAAAAATCAAAGGGTATGCACGGTACATTCAATATCTGTTAATGAGGTACTAGGAAGGTGTTCCCTTGACATCGGGGCAACAGCGTTTCAGAGTTACTCCGAGGGACAGATCCTTTGGAACGACGACAGCTTGTTATCACAACAGAGCGAGGAGATAAAACAAAACACATCACTGTCTTTAACAAGCCAGCATGCAGGGACACCGTGTGCTTGCTCCTACAGGGAGTCGAACCCGTACTGTCCCCTCACACCTGAAGGAACAGCACACTGGTTCATGTGTTGATGGGGGCCATGAGAGGGGGGGTGGGGTGGATGAGGATGTGTGGGTGCAGGGTGGTGAGATCTCATCAAACTATACGGCGGTAAGTTGATTATCTGTTAAACAGCTGCAGACTTAATTTTTTTTTATCTTTTTTCCTGTCGTTACTGAGCAGACGGACAAACAGCGCCCTCTGTTGGCTTTAAATGCTTTACCTCATGAGATAAAAACTGAGGGGTGACAAGGTTAAGACTAAAGCGGATGACTACAAACTAGAAAAGCACAGCTGTAAGCGTTGATAAATACGGGGGCTCATTCTGAAAATGACTTGATGCTCGAGCAGGTTTTGAACTGAGTGGGTCATCGCACACTTCACAGTTAGAAACTTTGTACTGACTGCACCTCTGCCGAGCACGCTTACATCAGTGTTGGGAGGGCCAGTGGGCTGGAGGGGGGTGGGGTGGGGGGGTTAGTCTGTTAGGTTTACGTCCGTACGCGCTTTCTCAAGTCATAAGATGAGCAAAGAGGAAGAGGGAACAAAAATAAAATAAAAAAGAAGAAGAGAGCAGTAACACGAGCCGTTAATGTACAAAGTGGAGCTTCCAGCCTTCTGTCTCTGTGAGGCAGACGACCAAAGCCTCACATCAGAAAAGCTTAGACTTTTTGAAACAGAACAAATAGAAACACCTAGAACCACAAAAAGATCAACTTTCCATTAAAACAACAGCCAACTAAGGAACTAAACCAATCCAATCACTGAATCCTTGAGAACACAGTTATTGCTGACGTAGTGGGGGGAGGTGGAGGGGGTGAGATGAGCATGGGAGAGGGGTGAGGGTGGGATGGGGCTAGCTGTGAATAGGTCACTCCTGGGCTGGTTGTGTGTGATCAGAGAAAAGGACTGCAGATCCACGATGGGTCAAACTGGTGCTTCCGGTTCACAGACGGGTCAGGTGGCGTCTGAACCCGGAGGAGGTGAGTGGTAGTGGTGGGGTTTGGTTTCCAGAGATGACGGAATGTGCTGGTGCCGGCAGAGGGGGGCTATTGGTCGGAGGGGATGTCTCTGTCGGCCTCAGCCTTGGTGGGCTGCCCCGGGGACGGGGCATGAGGGGGGTGGGAGACGGGGGCGATGCCATGCGCCAGGGTTCCTGGAACCAGGCTCTCCACAGCGGCGCCGGTTCCCGGCAGCCCTGCTGCCGCTGCAACGTTGATCAGACCTGGAGGAAATCTGAAACAGAACCAGAGGGTTTGCATGAGAGCTGCAGAAGACCTTGTTTTAACAAGGCAACAACAGTCAACTCACAGCCCAAACACAAACCGTTTGGGTTCAGGGACCCCCGAATAACCCTCAGGTTTATTAAATTATTTTCCTTCAATTGGTCTCTTTAATGCTATGGAAATATTTGTGTAACACAAATAATAAACACATGTTCTTTAATAGTTTTAATACAATTTTTATACTTTTCAAAATGGGGTATTTTTCATTCAAGACAACACATTTTTAATTTCAACTTCCAAAAATTACAGTTTTGAGAAAATTAACAGAATCAAAAACCACTTTAAAACTTCACCTGTTCTCATAATGAACATAAATATGTTGCCACTTCATCAAATTATTACAGAAAACTCTTTACATAAAACTGAACAGAATCAGAACAGCAGTAGTCGGACTAAACCGATCGATGCTGCAGGCCGGCCAACCAGCATGCGCCCCCCCCTCCCATTTTTATTTTATAAAGCAGATGCAGTTTCCTGCATTTTGGTGTATTTTAACAGGTCAACATATACATGCTTGTAAAAAATAAATTAATAAAATAAAATTGCAGACCTTCAAGAACCGGCTCGCGGACCCCAGGGGTCTGGGGACCCCCCCACCCCACTTCTCACCTGTAGGCGGCTCCATTCAGTTCTGGATGAACCGTAGCTGCCTCCATGCTGGGCCACTGAGAGGCAGCCATCAGGTACTCCTTATTAACACAGTTCTTCAGGCTGTCCGGGATACGACCTGAAGCAAAGCAAACAGACATCACTCCTCTCTTCTGGTTAAGATAAGATCATTGTTCTAATTACTACGTTACTAGTTCAAAGCTGCCTGCAAACCAATATAAGCACATCTGGAGGGAACATTTTACCCTGACTGATTGGCTGATTTATACTCTGCAAGACGTCAAGATACTTCATCTCATTGTTGCAGATGCGTCACAAAAATTAGTTTTTATCTTGCGTCGCCTCTAAAAACCTGTTCTGTGAACAAACTCCTGGCAGAACTTTACTCTCGCTGGGCATGTGTCCACGATAGTGTGACTGGTAAGAACTTTGTGGGTATGTAATGTGGAAAATTGTGGGAACTACACTGCTATCATTCCACTTCAACTGCTCTGCTGAGGAGCCGCTGGCCGAGGTTGTTAGAAAATGCAGTCACCTTTGCACATGCTCCAGCAACACTTAAGACTGTCAAACAAATCTTTGAAAGACAGTCAAAGAACTTGTGGAAGGAGACTGCATCATTCTTGTGGACAGAGGCGACTCGAGCAGATCTCCATGGCTGTGCTGGCTAAGAAGGAGTACAACTCAGCCAGGCAGTTAGGGACTCGTTCCCACACAAACAATGGTAGTCTTCTCTCAGCTACAACTCCATCAATTTATCAAATACTGAGCAAATTAGGCATGGTAGTAGCTGACAGTTAATTTAGTCATATACTCAGAGCACTAAAATTTCATGCAAGATCTTTGTTTAAAACACTGCCCAAGGTGTTCCTTCAAGGAATGCTAGCAGTGCTTCCTCTAGTTTACTTGCCTTGGCAGGGTGCTCACTGATTCAGTTTGGAGGGTAGTCTTTACTTTTAGTCAAGTACAGAATCATTTCACGACTCTAACACTGTGAAGTAATTCAATTGTTACGTGACGATAATATTATAACATGTTCTGGTCCTAACATGTTCATGTTGGATAACATGTTCATGTTTTTATGCCATTAGTGCTTAGTCTATTTCTAGTTAACATTTTTCTTAGTTCATATATCTTAGCTCTTATTACTGTTTTTCTTTTACATTTTACTGTTGGATGTAACTGGGACCCTGTGTACACAATGACAAAGAAACTCTGACTCTATTAGATGTTCAAGTGAAAGCACAGAGACGTGCACTTCTTTCTGGTGTAAACTGGGTGATGAGGGCTTACCAGTAATGGCGCGGCGCACTTCTCTGGCTGCTTCTTCACGAGCCTCAACTGAGGCCTGCTCGCTGTACCAGGATGTGTGAGGGGTACAGATCAGGTTAGGCGCATCCTTCAGGGGCCCGGTTGAAAAACTATGGAGATTGGGGGGTAAGCTTGTTTAAAAGAGAATAGTCTTGGGTTCTACAGTACAGTGTCCACCTATGAACATTTGTCTAGTTTTGTGGCCAAAAAGCTTCAAGTTTACCTGAAAGGTTCGGTCTCGTGGACATCCAGGGCGGCCCCTCGTATCCGGCCCTCCTTCAGGGCCTGAGCCAGTGCTTTCTCATCAACCAGTCCGCCTCTTGATGTGTTCACCAGAAACGCTCCCTGACGCATCTGTGTTAGGACCAGAATTATTTACAGCTGGAAAACGTTTTAATTATAAGCAGTTCTCATTTTTATCTCATAAAAAGAAAGATAACTTCCTGCCAGCTGTTTTAGAGCTTCATGATATTTTCTGAACATTAACCAAGTCCAGTCAGATTTATTTATATAACACATTTAAAACAGGAACTGTTGCCAAAGTGCTTAACAAAAGGATCACATCAAATACAAAACAACATATAATTACAGCACCAAGAATAAAAAACATAACACAAAACATAATAAGAAACGATGAAATACTAAATCAGATCACGCCGTGTTAAATGCTAACGAGTACAGATGTGTTTTCAGGAGCGATTTAAAAGCAGGGACTGAAGAGAGTCTGTCTAATGTCGAGGGGCAGATTGTTCCAGAGTTTAGGGCCCACGAGTGAAAACGCTCCATCTCCTCGGAGCTTCAACCTGGTTTTTGGTACAACCAAAAGAAGCTGATCCGATGATCTCAAAGCCCGAGAAGGAGCATAAGGATGAAGAAGGTATGAGGGTGCAAGGCCGTTAATGCACTTAAATATCAGCAGGAGAATTTTAAAACCAATTCTGACACGCACAGGGAACCAGTGAAGGGAGGACAGAACCAGTGAAGTGTGTGTAACCAGGTGTTGCTTTTTCAGACGAACCAAATCAAATTAAAATGAGAGCAGGTATTATAGAAATACACTGATGTTGGTTGTTTCAAAGATGCACTGTTGCCATGGTATCTGACAACCACATCAGAAATCTGAAGTTTCAGGTGTTTACAAGTCTTTGAGAACAAACTCAAAAATGCCCAATTCAAGTTACCAGATGTGTGAGATCCAGGCCTGTGTGATCGATGTCCTCATCTGCATGAGCACAAACTCCTGTAGCCCACTGGGCTCAGCACGTCCACTACAAACGTGCACAGATCAATGTTCTATAAAACTAATAAACAAACATGTAGGGCACTTTGATTTCCACGATGCGACCAGTGCAGATGGATTTGTGGAACGTTGTGAATTTTGTTAATATATGAACTTCTGGACAATCCAAATGTTTGTTTCTTGCAATAAAGTAATTATTTTGGACGCTGCAGGCTCCTGTACCCTCCTGCCTGTGTGAGGTGACGGGAGCAGGGGGATGACTCAAGGAGGGAAAAAGAAATTGTGTGTAGACCCAAAATATTAATTATACCAAAACAGAGGAGCTGCCCAACGTTAGCTCATCACTGCTGCTTCCCCACATGAAAACACGTCGGCAAGACCGACACTTCAACTTATTAAACACCTTTTAGCTGCATGTGCAAGTTAACATATTACACGAAAACTTGAACAAAGAAAAGTCAGCCCAATTTAGTAAAGTTTTGCTAAAACACAAAGATAGTCGAGCTGAAAGCTGACCAGCAAAACTACTGATGGAGAAAAAAAGTGATGATTGCCAATTAAAAACAGAAACAGCCTCTTCCTCCTCCTCCTCATCTTCAGTGAGTCAAGTAGGACACAGATATAATACAATTGTTTAAAGCTATATTTTATGAACTATAAAATAGAGTTGATTTCTACGTTTATATTTGAAGCACCTTATTTACAAAAATCATATTTTTTGCTCAGATGTAAGACTCTTAAGATACTTTATTTAAAAATAAACAAAACACTAATGCATTATGAATAAATGACTCGCAGGACGATTTTTAAGCACCTAAAAAAGACCGACTGTTCAGTTGTTGCTGCATCTAAGAAAATCTGCTAATGTCAATAAAATTGTGACTGTTTTACTCTTGAATTGTTGAAATTTTAGTAATCTGCCACATAATTAAACACATTTTTAGGTAAAAAAAAAAAAAAGAAAAAGAAAAAAAAGAAGAAGTTGTGCTTATATTATAATGTTTAAAATAAAAATTGAAAAAAAATTAATTGGAAAAAACAGATTTCATAGAGCCCTAAATTGTGTATGCAGGAAAATGTCTGAAAATCAAATATATGCTCAGAAAAAAACTATTTGGACTTGCGTTTTCTTTACGCTATAATTTAGGTGAAGTGGTGTCAACACTTTAATCACATTTATATTTAATCAACGCTACAGTCTCGATACAGAGAGCTACGTTAAGTTTCTCTTTACTACTGAAAGCTACATAAACACACTGAATGCTAACCAACCAACACAGAGTTACTGTGGACAAGTTGCTACATTATGGTTATTCGTTTAGCGGTATATGTTTATTATGTTTAGCCGAAGTGTCCCTGGGCAAGACACTGAACCCCTCATTGCCTCCGATGTGTCCCATCGGTGTATGAATGTGATAAAGCTCTGATTAGTCTCTACATATTCAGATTAGCCATGTAGAGATACAGTAGAGTGCTGTATGAAAGGGCAAATGAGGGCACACATTGGAGTGTAAAGCACTTTGAGTATCTTGGTAAGACAGAAAGGTGCTATACAAGTACAGTCCATTTACAATTTATTCTTGAAAAAGTCGTAGTGAAATTTGATTAAAGCGAGCAGAAAATGACAACTAAGAGAAGTGTAACAAAACTAGAGGCACACATTTCAGCAAACTTGCTCAATTTTATTAAAAACCAACACCACAAACTTCACTAACGTCATGAAAAAGCAGCCATAAAATAAAGGGTTAATTTAGTACGTACACGTCGACAGCTCAGCCACTCACCTGTTTGATAGTGAAGTCGTTGATGAGGTGGTGGTTGTGCTCGTTGAGGCTGCAGTGCAGGGATACGCAGTCAGAGTGGATGAGCAGGTCCTGCAGCGTGGCCATCCGCTGCAGGCCCAGGGAGCGCTCCACGCCATCGGGCAGGTACGGGTCATAAAAGATCACGCTAAATCCAAAGGCTTTGGCCCGCAGAGCCACAGCTTGACCGACGCGCCCTGAATGACAAAAGATTCAGAGGATGTAAGCGGTAAACGCTGTGCTCCGGCTGAAACTAAACTAGAAGCTTTTTTTGTTTTATTGAAGCATATTGACTAGTTTGATCAATAAAGCAAGATGGATCTAAATCCAACATAAACCTTTTCCACGCTCTTCACTTACCTAAACCGATGATGCCGAGCGTTTCGCCCCGGATTCGAGCAGCACCGCCAGCCACCTCCCTGATCTGCTCCACGCTGGAGGCGCGTGTTCCCTCCCGTAGAGCTTGGTGCATCCAGGTGACTCGCCTGTACAGGTTGAGGATCAGGCATAGTGACGTGTCGGCCGTCTCCTCCACCGAGGCTGCCGGCACGTTACACACCGCAATACCTGAGTGAAAAGAAGAATTCAGATGAGTCGACTTTGTGTCTGTGATGATTCTCTACGTTTTATCAACTCACCGAGCTCAGCAGCTGCTTTAATGTCGACGTTGTCAAAACCCGAGCCGATCCTGACAATGACTCGGAGGCCTTTAAACTTTTCCAAGTCATCTCTGGATAAAGTGATGGTGTGGTACAGCAGAGCGGCCACAGCTTCATTTAACACCTACACAGAACAAGATGAGGTTTGACTCAGCCTCACATTAAACTGCAGTGAACAGTTTGTTTTGCCTGTACAGCTTCTAATATGTAATTTATTTAAAGAATGAAAATATATTCTTCTCGTGACTGTTGCCGTGCGGGCGTTTCTCATCTACCTTCTCGTGGATCTCTTGCGTGGACTGAGCATCACAGAAGGCCACCGTCGCCACGTCTTTCAGGATTGGCATTTCCACAGTGCAGTCGCGCCCATCCAGCAGGGCCACCAGGGGCCGCGGGTGCATCGGCCCATTCAGGATGGGGGGTCGGATACCTGAGTCGACCAAAATGTACACATTAGCTACAATTAAGACTTAATCTGTAAATCTTAATTAGTAAATCAGTCTATAAATAAGAACTGAAGTTAGCAGAATATGACATTTGATTTGTGTATAAATGTCCAGAGATAAACACGATGCTAATCGCATTAACAGTGAAAAAGCCATAGAAAAGCTAATTTAGCATCTCTGCTAAGTATTGGTCAGTAACCCGTGATCAACGATGGGGTCGTTTGACTTCTTTTATATTGTATTATTTATTAGGCACAAAAATATATAAATCATTGTTTATTTTCTGTAAAATAAGCCATAGTAATTTAAGTTAAGATAATCAAAATGAATCAATAATTGTTTTATCATCACTCACAATCGACTCAAACATTTTTTACTACGCACACATACAAACAGTATGTGTTGCTCTGAGGAAAAAAGAAGCTTGAGAAGAAAATTAAGCGTTGTAAACTATTTTTTTAAATGGTTTGCTGTAGTGGCCCAGTTTATTGACGCGTTTCAGAACGACTTCAGATAAACTCGATGTTAGTGACTCAACCGTCTGCATTTTCCACATCTAGGCTTCCTGACGTGAAGCAAGTCATCACGCACTCACGCAAAAATTCCCCTGCACACACACGGCTGAAGCGTTGCACTTCGTCGACAATAATAAATCGGGCTTTTATGACTTTCTTTTTCCAACACATCCACCAGTGTCAGGGAAGCCACAAGGCCCACGTGTCCATGCATTTTGAAAGTATTAAAGCAACGTGTAACCAAATCTCTGATCAAACATGGAGCGCATCCAGGAATATGACCTATTTGGCGTTGAACCCCATGTCTGGTTAGGAATGCATGTAACCAGTGCTCCATGTGAAGAAAAACACCAGTCTGTTTAATGAATCAAGCACTTTGGGTCTTAGAGCCTGACCCAGGTTCAACTTTAAAACAAGTCACTCAATGAAACAGTATTTTATTAATGTCTTTAAAGATGGCTGTAAAAAAAAAAAAACACATCCAACATAACATTTTGGATGTTTGAATATTAAGACTTTGGACTAAAATAGTGTGATTTATGTGTTTGTGGTGGCTGACAGAGCAGAGATGCGTAAAAAAAATAAGAATATATCTCTAAAGGTTGCTTTCTTTAATTGTCATATATATATATATATATATATATATATATATATATATATATATATAAAATAAGAAGGAATGTTTAGACTGGGCAAATAATGCTAAGATAAAGACTTTCAAATCATTTGTTTAGAATATTTCTTCATTATGGAGCCCTTTATTTGCTTTAACCAAGTCAATATCAAAAACAGACTGGAAAGAAAATGTTGCCTACTACTGGTTTAGATGGGGGGGGGTGCAGGGGGGTTGTGTGTTTAAGGTGATGGTTGGTGATTTTGACACTGCAGCTGGAAAACGGGGAAGAAAACTGTTGTGTCCCTGGAAGGAGGTGGTTTGGGGGTTTATGGTGGGCTGCAATGTGACCTAAATCTCATGTCTGGAGGAGTCACTCCTTCCAGTGTCTCTGCCTGCCCCCCCACCCCCTTTTCTTCATACACCAAAAACCACATTTGGCTGATATGCACCATACAGACAGAACAAACTGAGCAACACTAAAAATGATTGAACGAGTTCTTCACCGCCCTGTCAGTCTAGTCCAGCTCTGTTAACTGCACACAATCAGGTGTCGCTGCTGTGTGACAGGTGTGTGGGTTCCACGGTGGAGCCGAGCCGGAACATTTGCTACGACGGAGAGCAGAACGTAACGGTGAGACTGCTGAGGAGGAGAGGGAGCTGGTCGCCGAGGGTGGAAAACACCTTGGCTCGCGTCTTAACTTTCCATTTGAATTAAAAGGGAAGAATAAAAATACTAAAAATACAAAAACAAATGAATAAATTGTGCACCCATCCAGCAGTGTGATTCACAGCACTTGCAAATGGCTCAGTCAGGCTGCTACACAGTGAACACACAAAGAGACGTTTGCTGTGCAGGAAAAACCCAAAGTGGTTCGTCACAAAGACACCCTCAGAAAAATATTCACCCATGCAGGCCTGCACAGAGAGTAATCTGAGTAAAGGACACTGGCGTACCCAAGGCCTATGAAGAGCAAGCATGGCCAGACACACAATACCATTCATTCAGTCTCCCTCCCTTTGCCTTTCTTTCCTCCACTCCCTCCTCCTCCTCCTCTCCCTCTGGCTGTATTTGGAGGTGAGGGGGGAGGGGCAGCAGACGATGATAATGCAGCAAGCAGCAGTACTCCACCCAGACGCAGCTAGACACACACTTCAGTTCCTTCTCAACGGCTGCAGCACCGCCAGCCAGCACCGAGCCTGAAAGAGAAACTGCACCACACCCAACGCTCAGCGCCGTCCTGCACGCAGCTCACAAATCGCAAAAACACACGGAGAAAATAGAAAACACATGCGCACCGGGCCTAACCTTGCATTATTGTGAAGTGTGTCAGCCGGTCTTCCTCCCTCTCTCCCTCTCCTTATGGCTCTTATTTTTTCCTCCCTCTCACTTGTCAGCCTGCTCCAGGCTGACTGGATCCCAGCTGTCACCCACGGCCGGCCCCTCCCCCACGCCCAGCCTCCAATCACAGGCCGCTCCATTGAGAGCCAGCCAACCAGCACTAACCTCATTAGCATACTGCGCTGGTTTGGGCCGTTGTCGTTTTTTAAAGAAACAGCTGGCCCGTTTCCCTGTAGCCTCGGCCACAACCCTTCACCTTGTCCTCTCCCTCTCACCCGTCTCCACAGACTCCATATTCGTCTGATCATCCCTCTGCAGATGCTTGAAACACCGTCTTTTAAAGAATTATGCTTCTAGCCACACGTCTTGACTCCATAAAGTTTACTTATTTTCTGTCATCAAAGTGGAACACAGTGCATTTTTTTGCCCAGCAATTGTAAAGCCACAACAGATGTCAAAATATGTGATCGTTTAGGTTTTTGATTTGAGTTTTTATGCTTCTACGTCATAAAAATATTGTTTAAAAGCTCTCCACAGCATAATGTCCATACTCGAAATGACTCTTAGGCTATGTTCACAGTGCATGTCTTAATGCTCAATTCTGATTTTTTTTTTGTTGCTCAGATCCTTTTCTTTTGAACAGTAATTCACATATTTTAAATGTGATCGTCATCAGACTTAGTGTGACCTCTCTATGGTCCTGAAACGACTCGCATGCTTCATTTACATAAGTTAATGTGGATGCTATGTTAGCATGTGTGTACTGATTCTTAAATTATTGTGCAATCACAGCCAATTAAATAATGACGTGACATGACTGTTTCACCCAGTGGTTACTTTTGACCTTGCCTCTTTCCAACTAATCCGTGTGCAATTGCACTTGTGGAACGAGAGTGGCGTCTGACAGCAACGTAAAAAAAAAGACAAAGCAACATGATTTAAACTGCATGACGATGGTATCAATATTACCAATATTTGAATCGATCTGCATACCCCTATCTCTGTGACATTCAAGTCAGTTGAAATGGAACGGATCAGACAGCGGTCAATTGGAAAAACACCATCTATGTATCACATTTAGTAGTACCACATATGAAAAGGACCAAACTGAGTAAAAACAATCAGATTTTTCACATTCAGATGGTCATAAAGAATTCCCTGAGAATAGCATATGGGCCGATTTTTATTTTATTTGGGTCAATGTTGTCTGCAGGGTGAACACTGCTATATTAAACTTTCTTCATTTTGAATACAAACTTTGTCTTTCCTATAGTCAGAATACTTTTTTTCAGCACAAACACAGGTTACAACTACAACTAATTACACGAGGACAACAAAAAGCACCTTTTGCAAACACCGGCGCATCTATCTTTTTTTTTTTTACTCTTAAATTCTCAGTCATGATGAGCAAGTACAAATATTTTTAGTATATTCTGGTTTAAACATAATCAGAAATATAAAGTGTACACAAACCATGAATAACATGGAACATTTCCGTTTCTATAAACAAAAGTGAAACATGGTGTGTGTGTGTGTCAGACAATAAGTAGAAAACTAGGATTTTGATGGCTAAATTTAAAATCATGGTTTGATGAAGTTGACAGGAAATAAAACATGCAGTTACATTATTATCGTTAGTCACTGTGATCAAAATAGTTGTGAACAACCCACATTTCACCCCCTCATGCTCTTTTCTTCTGTCATCAGTTTCCTCACAACACTCCGCTTGTGCTTCAACATCTTAAGCGGTTTCATCTAAACCAGGGGGTGCACAATCCTGGTCCTTGCAGGCCACTATCCTGCATGCTTTAAATGTTTCTCTGCTCCAACACACCTAGCGGTAGTTTAAATCAATGAGCGTCTGCAGACCATAGAGAGAACCCTTGAATCACGTGAGTCCAGAACAGGATTGGACAGTCCTGAACTAAACAAAGCGTAAACCTGAGCTGAAAGGGTCCATGTGTACAGTGAGCTGTAGCTTCTGCCGTCTTTTTATCTTGAATAGAAGAAAGGAAGTTAAAGTTAACTAATGTGATTGGCCAACATTAGAATATCATGGAAAAGTTGTTTAACTTCCATAATTCCATTCAAAAAGTTAATCTTTAATAGATGATAGATTCAGGGCCCATATTTTAAACAATTTCAAGTATTTATTTATTTTTACATAATTTGGGCTTCTAGCTCATGAAACCCATGAAAACAGGATTTTAAAAAAATTGAATACTGTGAAGACATCAGCCCACACTTCAAGTTTTTACAGAAAAAAAAAGAAAAAATTAGGATCACGACAAATCAATCAAAATATGGTACTTTCAAAACAATATGTCAATCTTCAATACTTGGTTGGGAATCCCTCTGTCTTAATCACTGCCTCGATGTGATGTGGCGTTGAGTCAATCAGTCTGTGGCATTGACTGGGAGTTATGGAAGCCCAGATTTCCTTGATGCTGTCAGCTCTTCTTTGTTGGGTCTGGTGCTCCTCATTTTCCTCTTGAGAATACCTCATAGATTCTCAATGGGGTTTAGGTCCGGCGAGTTGGCTGACCAGTCAAGCACTGTGGCATGAGCATCAAACCAGGTTTTGGTGCTTCTGGCAGCATGGGCAGAGGCCAGGTCCTGCTGGAAGATGAAATCTGCATCTCCATACAGATCCTCAGCAGAAGGAATCATGCAGTCCTCTAAAACATTCTGGTACTGTTGCGGTGACCTTGGATTTAAAAAAGCAGAGTTTACCAACACCTGCACCGGACATTGCACCCAAATCATGACTGACTGTGGATATTTCACACTGGATCTCAAGCAGTATGGGTTCTGTTCCTCACCCTTCTTCCTCCAAACCTTGGACCTTGATTTCTGAATGAAAGGCACATTTTACTTTCATTGGAAAAAAGGACCGAGAAACCCGACAGATGTAGTCCATCTCCCAGATGCGTCTGAATGTGGTGGTTTTTGAAGCTGTGACTCCTGCCTCATTTCACTCTTTCTGGATCTCTGCCAGATTATGGAATCTTCTCTGCTTGATGATCTGCTGAAGCCCACGGTCATCTCTTCTGCTGGTGCATCTTCTCCTGCCACATTTTGCCCTTCCACTAGACTTTCCATTGATATGCTTGGACACAGCACTCTGTGAACAGCCAGCCTCCTTAGCTATGAACTTTGTGGCTTACCCATCCTATGGAGGGAATCAATGATGGTCTTCTGGCCAGTTATGTCTGCAGTCTTCCTCATATTGAACCAAACTGATTCAATTGAACCAAACTGAAGCAATTTAATGACACCTGGGGAAACTGTGCAGGTGCTTTGAGTTTAGTAGATGATTAGTGTCACACACTCAGTTTAAAACATTCATGCCCTGCAAAATTAGGGCTGATTTCTCCACATTATTTTTTTTTAAATCCTGTTTGAGGGTTTTAAGAGCTGGAAGCCCAAATTATGTAAAAAATAAATAAATAAATAAATACTTGAAATTGTTGAAGCTGTGGGCCCTGAATCTTATCTACAAAAGATCAACTATTTTAAGTCAGTTGCTCAGTGGCTGTGAATGCACACAGACACACACGTTGGTCACGGGTGGGGGTGGACGTTGATCACTACTGGCTGTGGATGGGCATCATCACGCATCTCAACCAATGAGAGCCTGCGCAGCGATGCGCTGTGAAGGAAGACTTATTAGTTTGTTATGTAGCTTGTTATTCAGTTATTCATAAAAGTTCAAGACAAACAACTGAACTTTATTTGTAACTGAAGACGTTTCGCTTCTCATCCGAGGAGCTTTCTCAATTCAAAGAACAGAGTGTGGGGTTCGAGTTATAAAGCTGAGGTGGTTCTTCTGTAAGCTAGATGCATATGGAGATTACCCTCTCACTCTATAATCTAGCAGAATCTAGTAGAACACCTCAGAACCCCACACTCTCTTGTTTTTTTGAACTGAGAAAGCTCTTCGGATGAGAAGAGAAACGTCTTCTGTTACAAAATAAAGTTCAGTTGTTCAGAACTTTTTTGAATTTACAATGTCCTGGATGACTGAGAATCTTCACCAGCGTATTGCCAGCTCGTTATTGTTCTCATCAGAGCAGTATGTGTTAAAGTGAACCCAGATAATCCTTAATTTGCTCCATTTCTACTGATGGGTACAAAGACAACAGATGAAGGACAAAGCTGGGACAGCCAGCACAGGAGATATTAGGAGCTTTGTTAAAAATCCAGGCCCCGTCCTTCTATACATCTTTATCTGTAACATACAATTGAAAAATGGTTAAGATTATTTAATGTCATCCATATCCACAACGCCTTACGGAGGTCTTCAGATGTTGATGCGTTTCCACACTCTACATTTTTTATATCTACTGAACCTTTGGTTTGTGGTTGTGCAGTTTTTAAGATATATAATGATGCCTATTTGGGGCAGCTGTGGCTGAGTGTTTAGAGCGGTCGTCCTCCAATGCAAGAGTTGGGGTTCAACTCCACCAGCACTTACATGCTGGTGTCCCTGGGTAAGACACTGAACTCCTCATTGCCTCCAATGTGTGTCCCACTGGTGCATGAATGTGATAAAGCACTGATTATTCTTTGTATAAATCTAGTAGAGTGCTGTATGAATGAATAAATGAGGGCACAGATTGTAGTGTAAAGCGCTTTGAGTATCAGGATTAGATAGAAAGGTGCTACATAAGTAAAGTCAATTAAACCATTTTCTTATTATTATTGTTTTAGATCCTTGTATACCGTTTATTTAGACTTTATATTTTTGGGTTTAACTGGGACTTTGAGTACACAATTTCATTCCACCTCATGTACCACGTGACGCGAATGACAAAGAATGCTGATTTTTTTTTTTTTAACTATAAAACAGTGCCTTAAAAATGTTCTAAATATTTGAGTCGTAATTTAATTTCGTGTATAACAACGCGATTAATCGCAAACATAGTTTCGTACGCAAGATTCTTTCTCTCTTACCCTCACAAATGCGGTCAAGTCTCTGCCGCTTGACAAGTTTGGGTTTGTCCATCAGAGCCATAGACCGAGTAGTCTTAACCTGGGACA